ACTGAGTGGAAAAAGGCGTAATACACCATTTTAAGGGCATCAATATTTAAATACTGTTTGGTTTTCCTAATTATGTAACAGGCTTTATTTAATTTACCTATAATTGAATCTATATGCTTTTTCCAAGATATTGTGTTATCCAGTGTCATACCCAAGAATTTTACCTCATTTGACTCTAATAAAATTTTGTTTCCATATTCAATATTTAATTTTTTGGTAAAATTATGTTTAGCTGAGAAATTTACACAGCAAGTCTTGCCTAAATTTAATGAAAGCATATTTAAATTAAACCATTCATTCAGCGATCTAAACACCATAGTAAGTTTTTTTTCCAGCTGCATAAAATTTAATTCATCTACTATTACACTTGTATCATCGGCAAATAGCACAACTGATGTATTTGATGGGACAGAACACTGAGGTTCTTTTACGTGCCATAAAGCTACGACACGGGACCCACGGCTTAAAGTCCTCCCCAGATGACTTGTTCCCTGAATTTTTCCGCCCTTAAAAATTCCACAACCTCCGCCGGGTTTGAACCCGCATACCTTGCAGTCTCGATAATAATCAGATTAAGCCTGCACAGTAAATAGGCACTATCTGAATGAAAACTGTTTCGTCTTCAGCATAAATTAGTACTAAGCAGGATGTGAGGTTCTCAAAGCAGTGGTTATGAAGAGTGCTATCTTCTGGAATATAATACCATGTAGTCATTTGGAAGTCAACCAGCGTTTTGGAGAAACATATCACCTCCATCTTCTGAATCGAAGAATAAGGCAAGCCAGAAACCAATGTGAAAGCTGGTGACAAGCAGAGCCTGCATTCATGCTGGTTTCTTGCTTGGAGTATTCTTTGACCACGAAGATGGAGAAGATATATTCTTCTGAAATGTCGGTTGATCATTAACCAGTAACATGGTGTTAAATCCCAGAAGATAGTGTTCTTCTAAATTAGTACAAATTCCTACCTTGTAATGGAATAACAAGTATCCAGATTGACAATTTATGTGATTGTCCCTGTTTCCATCCACCTGTAATATCCCAATTATCTAAGCTTGGGGCATCAGTTATGCCAGTTTAAATAGAATACTAGTGAATGGTTTGCTGAAATTAATGGAAATTTGAAAATATTAATATAGGAACCATGATGAACACTAACTACAATTCACATAATACTTGTATTATCAACATTCACAGTACAGAAACACTACAGTAAAACAAAAAAGTTGTTCATAACCTATTAAAAAGCCTGCTTTTATATAAAAAAGAAAGGTAAAGCTATCTCAGTAACAGGCGGTGGAGGCCCATAGGATTGTGAGACGTCAAGGGTCCTACATTTGCAGACACTTGGCTCAAACAGATGGCAATGAGGTTGTCAGCCTTTTGCACCAGCTGCTCTTTACCCCCAAGAAGATTCCTGGTACTCATTTCTGTTCAAGGCTTAGTCGACTCCAGGGTCGAAGAATGGATTGATTGATTGATTGATTGATTGATTGATTGATTGATTGATGTGAAATGGATTGAATTGGTTACTCTGTTGGGGAATTTATGTTGTCTTAAATTTTTAATATAGTTTTATATGGTATGTTGGACATGTACACAATTCGTGTATGTAGTTAAATATCATAGTATTGCTGACTTTTATACAAATAATTTGACTTGTTCTATATCTGGAGGCTGTATTGCAAAATGTGGATTTCTGGAACCAATAAAAATATGAATATGAAGGAAACCTACTTTTTCATTAACTGTTCATAAAGGTAAAACTGTCCCTCTGCTAACTATGCCATGAAGGCATATGGAGGAATGGATGCATAGATCCCATTTTCTTGACCAAGGCAATGGGATCTATGCATCCATCTATGCATCTATGCAATAGTTGGAGGTGAGTGTTCAGCTTCACGCCCTGGCCACTTTACTCCCCAGGAAAGAGCCCCCAGTACCCATTGGATAAGACACTGGGTGGAGCCCAGAGCCAGTCTGGACAACATGGAGAAGAGAAAACTTTTGATCCTACTCAAACTCCAATCCTTTGGTCGTCCAGCCTGTAGCCAGTCACTATACGGACTACTTTATCCTGGCTCACATTAACTCTTCATACCTGAGGAACATTTCATGAAGGAAAACTATTATTTTTATCTCTTGTTGCTCTCTTCCTTTCACCTGCAGTCCTGTAAACAGCGCAGTCATGGATTTTAAAATATTAGAATTCATTTCTGGCCATTAAATTATTATTATTCTTATTTACTTACTTACTTAGTTACTTACTTACTTACTTACTCATGGAGCTGAGCCCTTCTTGAGAAGCTGTCAATTCTGCAGCTACTCAAGAATTTCCCAACCTTTCATGGAACCCGAAGGTTCATCACCGTGTTCACAAGAGCCCTCCTCTGGTCCCTATCCTGAGCCAGATCTATCCAATCCATACCGTTCCATCCTATCTCTCTAAGATCCATTCTAATATTGTCCACCCACCTACGCCTTGGTCTTCCCTGTGGTCTCTTTCCTTCTGGCTTTCCCACCAATATCCTATACGCATTCCTCGTCTCCCCCATTCGTGCTACATGACCTGCCCACCTCATCCTCCTTGACTTGATCATTCTAATTATACTTGGAGAAGAGTACAAGTTATGAAGCTCCTCATAATGCAGTTTTCTCCAACCTCCTGTGACTTCATTTCTCTTTGGTCCAAATATTCTCCTCAACACCCTGTTCTCAAACAATTATTATTATTATTATTATTATTATTATTATTATTATTATTATTATTATTATTAGTGTTGTAAGTGTACATTCACTTAATTAATTTAACAATAGCACAATATTCTTTATAGAAAAAGCACATTACAAAATTAGTAATGATGTTGGTTTGGTAGCATAGAAAAGAATAGAATTTGTAAGATTAGAGGTTTTCACGGCGGTGGCTATGAAGAATGCCGTCTTCTGGGATGTGGCGCCATGTAGATATTTTGTTAACCGACGTTTCGGAGGAACGTATCGCCTCCATCTTCAGGGTATAAGAAGTCCGCCAGAGATGAACCAGCTCACGCTGGAATTTATTTACAGACTATAAAAACTTCATAGTCCTAAGCCAAGTATGTGGAATAAGTCACAAAATGAATTCTTGTTCCCAATACATACACAAATATATATGCATATATAGACATATCTGATAACACAAAATACAAATATTTGATGTTATACATGAGTTAATAAAATGTTATTTAATTTCATTAGCAACTACCAATTTAGACAAGATAAAATTAACAGCATCCAGTGTAAGGCAACTTGTTTGCCACCACATTCGGAGTTGGAGGGGTGAAGATGAGTAGAGTATTGTGTGACAAGTATTGAAGGATAGTGAAGGAATGCAGAGGGAGAAGTGAATGTAGCACAACCATGCATCAGCTTGTGAATATCTGCTGTTACATGAAAAATCAGAGAATGGGAGCAGCTAATTATGGATGACTGTTCATTCTGGGGTAGGAGTTTGATGGGTGGTGGTCGACCAGCACGGTTGTATTTAGATATGTTAACCTTTTTATCGATTGAGCTCTTACAGTTACTGAATTACGTCATTTGCATGAACATAGTTAGATGTCACTAGTATGCGATTTGCAATTCGCCCCCCCCTCCTTTTTCTGTATACTGAGGATACTGAGCGCATTGAGCATTGAGTTTCCCATCTGGTATTGATTGTGGATCTTTAGAAGAAATGGGAAGAAAGTGAAAAATTGAGTGAGGAATTTGTGCCATGTATTCATTCGAGTTCTTGTTGAGAACGTGAAGATTTAGCATAAATACTAGTTTGACTGTTATAATTAGTTGCTTGTTTTTACAGCTGTGTTAAAAATGGCATGGTTTGGCATCCGAGTTGGTGTAAGCAAAGTTCTTCCACCTCTTCCAAGAGCTACTACAGCTAGTAAAGCGTTACTGCAGATTAATTTAAAAGTACCATGCCCTATTCATGCAGCATGTATTTCAGGCTCAGCTCTTAGAGACAAAAGCAAGGTCAGACCAGCCCCATTTCCTTACAAGACCAAAAGCTATAATTTCTGGCGTGCGTGGTTGCAAGATACAACAACTGACAGGTTTGACGAAAACACCAAAATTGTTGTCGTTGAGGGGCCGATCGCGGCTGGAAAAACGGCATTTGCTAAGAGTCTGGCCGAAGATTTAGACATGTTACATATGCCTGAAGTTACAATGGATGATTTTTATATCAACAGTTATGGTTATGATATGAGAAAACTGGACCCTCAACTGCCAGTAGGAGCAAGGAGTTATGATGAAAAGAATTTCTGTACAGAGCCAAATCATGAAAATACAGCCAACTTTCAAATAATGAAGTACAAACTGCGATACTCACAGTATATTGATGCATTGGCTCATCTTATGAACACAGGTTTGTATATTAGTAATTGCCTTATTCCAAATGCAAGACCTTAATATCACTTAGTAGATGCCATTATATTTTAGTAAACATCGACTTCAGATTTTTAATAGTTCTAGTAGTATTGTGTATGTAACAATGCTATCATTACCTTATACTGTGTGCTTTTGAATGATGTGATGATCAGTGAGCAATGAGTTGCAAGGGATGTGATGAATAGCAGTTGTGGTCTGATTTCATGTAATATCACAGCATTTTCCTGGAGGGACGAACAAACGCCCAAAGAAACCAATCAGGATAAGCTAGCCTGTGGGCTGAGGTTTTAACCAAGCGTCAGGCAAACATGAAGCAGGATTATGTACTCGGTTGTGATGTTTGGCATGTTGTTGGCGATTAATGATTGCCTCCAGTTATGATCTTATTGACCTTTTTGAACACTGTCCATCATGTCATTAAGAAAGGCAATGAATGCACTTTATAAACTTGTGCAGAATGAACAAGGAACAGTGGTCCTCAACAGCAAGCAAGGTTCCCAAAGTTGAAAAAAGTAATTAAAGTTCTGTAAGAGGAGATTAAATAAACCTCATCCAGAGCATTTTAATTTACCTAATCTGTAATTGAATGCAGCTTTTACCTCCTTTTAATGGTCCTGAACAGAACTTTTTCTAACCAGTATGCATACTGGCCGAAACTTGATGCGTTCAAGCAAAGAAATCAAACATCTGTTTTGACCCTGAAGCTAAACCTGGTCATGAAAACATCACCAAACAATTTTAGAAGAAGAATATGAATGTTATAATTTCCTTATGTTGTGATAGTAAAACATTTTAAGCCTTGACGATTATAAGCCAATGCAACTGTAGGCATTTTTAAAGGAGATGAAGTGATCAGCATTCACTTTACTGTACCAAGGGAACTTACGTTACTGGGTCTCTGTTGACTGCCTTCTTTTAGGAAAGAAATTTTACATATTCTGTGGATCATGATGAACAGGTATTTAGTAATAAGTTTTATATATTTTTTACAATATTAAAGGATCAGTCTTTGATATCACTGCTTTAGTATAAAATGTCTTAGGACATGCTACCCAGATCTCTCAGCAGAATGGATCAGTGTAGCATTATGCATTAACATAAGTGCATAAGAAACATAGTGTTTGAGAAATCTTTTTGGAAATATGTACTCTGAAATTGAACCTTTAAGAAAATGTACCATATAATTCATTTCCCTTGTGAAGGAGTTTGTCTTCTTTTAACATCTGTAAATATGTGGTCACAGAGCATCAGAGTGTGAAACTGGAAATCTTTGGAAGTTTGATGTCTAATGGGAGAATGCTACCTTTAAATAGGCCATGGCCATTTCCATTTGATCACTACTCATGGTAGTCATCACTACTGGCAGCTTATCATTTAAGCCACTTGGGACAGTACCCAACCCAAAATAATTTAGATGATATAATTACTCATCTGCAGAACATGTGTAATTAAACTCCTCCCATGCCCCAAAGTGTGAAAAGAGGTACTCTGAAGAAGAGTACTCTCTTCTGAGATGTGACACAATATAGTCTAGTTTTACCAGTGTTTCGGAGGAACATAGTGCCTCCATCTTGACGATCAAAGAGTGAGCCAGGCAGCAAAAGCAGATGGAAAATAGAGCGAATTGTGTATTGTGAACTGCAGATGATGCAGGAAATTGCAAGGTGAGGAGGGAGGTTTGGGTAGGAAGCTTGCAAGACAGTGACATTTTTCCAGGATCTGCCCCACTTAAACATCATGGAGTGAGTTACAAGATGACATTTCACCTCTCCCTTACAGCTGAGTACCAGTTCTAACATGAGAATGCACAGAAGAGCATTGTCTTCTGGGTTGTAATGCTGTGCAGACCAGTAGAACTCCTGAGGTTCATAGGATCATAATACCTCTCTTATTGCATTGCAGAAGACATAGTCACTGCTGTGAGAGCCAGAAATATAGAAGAATGCATTTTTTATCATTCTGTATAAATTTTCCAATTTTGTAACAAAGTACACATGACAGCACGTGAATTTCTATGTGAGTTTTTCTTTTATTGGATACTTTGCATTGATTTATGTGTATAACATAGTAGGAATTCATACACAGTAGACTGAGGGTGACTTGTACATTAGAAGGTTGTGTTTAATTAAAATATTATGTAAAGGTTACGTATAAGAAGATGAACATGTTTCAGAATTGTTGGAAGTAGAAGTGTCTTTCCCTGCAAGGCTACATGAAGGAAAGCTACAAATGAGACTTGACCAAACAGGCCTGACTTACAGATAACACATTACATTCATAAAGTCTTTAACGAGCACACAAACTGATATTTTAACAAGGAATGGTATTCCAGAGCTGTTTGGTTATGTAGTTGCCCTGGGAAGAAATCTTTGTTTTGTATTACTCTTTGAAGGAGAATGCAGTTGGATTATAGTGGCAGTAGTTAGAAAAATACATCTATGTATGAATTGTTAAGAATTTCATGTTAAAAATGCAGCATACCCACAATCAAATTAATTATCATAACGTGCAGTTTCATAAAAACAGGTAAGTGAGCTCAAGAAGCGTTGGTTCTACTTTATTGTAGACACAAGCAGATAGTATGCTAATGGGTTTAAAGTTCGTAACAGTAATGTTTGTTTCATTGATTCTGGAACCCCTGATACCCACATTTATCAATGTTAAAATGTAGAATTTGAAATTTTGCTTGACCGTAATCTGTATAACCTGTGCATTACAATAGTGTTCACCCACATTAAAACCCACTATCAGACTTCTCAGTGTGGCACAGTACGGGACAGTGCTGGCTGTCACACAGTAGAATAGTTTAGACAACATTTAGAAAAACACTTTTAAAGGTGAGTTAAGTAGTATGGTTGCAGGAACTTGCCTCTTGGGATAAATGACCAGACAACAGGGATGAATTTCTCACACAGATCAATATCAGTCACCAAAAGTCAGTGACAGACATTTTTGTTTTATGTGCAGGACAAGGAGTTGTTTTGGAGAGGTGTGCTTACAGCGACTTCGTGTTCATGGAGACCATGCACAATGCTGGCTACATAAGCAAAGGAGGTGAGTTCCTAAGCAAGAATTAGCACTGGATTGGATGATAGTGGAAGGAATGGGTACATCAACAGCAGCAGCAACAGCAGGGTTCGACAAATTGTGTGCACCATATTGTCAAGGCACTTCTTCCCAGTACACCATTTTTATCAGTACATTAGCATCTGGCACTATTTCATAATAAAGCAATGAATTGCAAAGGATCTACAAAGGTCCAAAATATAGCTACAAGCACCATTTAGTGGTAGGAAGAAATTACTTGCTCATAGCTCTTTTAGAAAAAAGACTGTTCACCTCATAAAAGCATAGTCCTAAATGGCAGAATTTCTGTATGATAGTTTAGTCATAGTGTTTATAAATGATCTGGGTTCTTTACAGGAGCAAAGCTGTTAAGCTTTCATTGTAGTGTCAAGTATATTTTCATTGTTCTTGTGACTTCTTTCTTTAGCAATATTAGGAAATTCTATAAATCACATTGTAACTTACTTCAGAGGGACTGGTGTAACAAGGATTCACTTCATCAAAATGGGTCTTAGGTGGAGGGGATTGGATTAAACTGGCCCAGGACAATGTCCATGTGAGGCTTTATTAGAAATGGCAAGTCTTTTGGTTCTAATTCCAGATTTTGTTAGCAAAGTTGAGGAAAATTTGTAGAGTGCTTCAAGAGAGCCTTTAACTGTTGCAGCTCGTGATGTGTATTATGATATATATAAAAACACAATAGGGGAACTGATGAAACCACATCTTGTGATCTACTTGGATGTCCCAGTGCCCCTTGTACAGCAGCGTATTAAAGAGAGGAAAATTCCATATGAGATCAGCTCGAAAGTTTTCACAAAACAATACTTGTCTGACATGGAGTACTTCTACAAGCAGCGCTATCTCAAGGAAATTGGGTGAGTCAAAACATTCCACTCATATTTTGATCATGTTGCACATTGCAAGCTGTAAAATATAAAGTTTGTAGATGTAGACTGTAATGCAGTCACATGCTAGTTTCCTGCAAATCATTGAGCCACGCAGGCGGAAGGGGGACCTGGTTATCTCATCAAGTTAGCACACAGGAATTCAGACATCCAGCAGGACCAAAGACTCGGCATATACACATTACAGTTTATTTTCAAATTTTGTTCACTAAATCACTGAACAGCTATCCTGAAGTGAAGTGAAGTGCCTTCCCATGCGTATACGGTGACTGAAAATTTTAGTGACATGAATTCTAGAGAAACAGCATCACCACTCCATGACATGTCATTTTGCATCAAAAGCAGGAGTCATTCAATTATGGCATGTCTGCAGGGAAAGGCACAGTGTGTGTTGTGGTACACAGAATTAGGCTGTTCAGAGAAACTTTTGGCAGGTGTATTGAATATATGTGCTACATGTTGAGTGTGTTTATGGATCTGCAGGGGAAGGCTGATTGATTAGTCCTTCAGTTCCGGGCTCAGTGCACTGTACGTTAGCAGTTTCTGTCACATGCCATCAGGGTCCATGCAGGGTATGCATATTGCAGCTCTGAGTTTCAGCTCATAATTTGAACTGTTGTTTTTCATGTAAAGTAATTCTTTTGGTATGATAAAGAGGAAATTTGAGGCTATCATTTCGTATATTCATTGTCCCTCTTTGAACTTGCTGCGGGAGTTTTATTATATTTGACTTCTTTGAAAAAGTTTTATATTTCAACACTTTGTGCGCTTGTTACCATACATACCTACCTCTGCCTAGGGGAATTCTTATGAACTAAATATGTTAGATTGATACTGTGTACTCTCCTCTATCCTGATTGAATGAAAAGTTGATTCTCTGGAGGCATATTCTGAACTGTGCTGCTTCAGTATTGGAATTTGTAACTACGAGAAGACACGTGGAGAATCTACGACTTTGAGACACGTGATGTTGACTCTAAGACGTGTTATGACTGCTACTATAGCAAATGATAAACAGTTCAATATATGAATGATACCGTTGTACCCCCCTTTGTTCTATAAATACGCATCATGCAGTCTGGTTAGCCAAGGCCAGCCACGAGGAACGAAATGGCCAGCTGTGCTGTGTCATGACCAGTGGAGAATATATTTACTTCAAACCAAATCAGAACAAAGTTTTATCAGATTCAGAATTAGACACTGAAAATGGATGTTTGTGCTTTTCTCAATTCTGTGGTAAATGACAGAATCGAGAATAGCACAAACATCCATTGGGAGAACATGCAAAACTACGAGGGGCAAAAAGAAAATTTCTGAATGTGATGATAATATGTAGGAATAACACAAGAAAAGGATAGATCAAATGTCAGTCAGAATTCAGTTAATTGAGGGACTCCCTGTAAAATATGCTAATGCTGTAGAGCACAAAGTGCCGGGTCGACATTCGTCCAACAAAACAGTGACCTGTCTAAGAGAAAGAAATTTTATAAGCAAGATTCCACCAATTGCGAAGAAATAAAAAACCACAGAAATGGCGTGTTATGTGTCAAATACTGTGTACTGGTGGCACAGGTGTGACATGTGACTCTGTGTGGAATGTTTTCGCAACTAACACACCCAGCTGAACTGCTAAGGTAATATGATAATATCATTCATAATTTTTATGGGCTTACTGTGCCAAAAAATAATTTTAAAGCAGTGTGGATCAGTACACCGATTCTATATACATTTCTGAACATAGTGTGAAAATTAAAAAAACTGAACTCCAATTATTCCAAATTTATTACACTTTAAGTGAAATGCCGCACCCTCCGATTTAACTATTTAAATATCCTCCAGCATAGGAGTTGAGTGGGAATTTAAATGCCCGCCGGTGTTGAAGGGTTAATTGGCTTCCACAGAGTCCTCATTTAACACCCATGGACTTCGTTTTCTGGGGGTACATCAAAGACATGTACAGCAAAATAGCAATCTCTCTTCAACGATTTTTGCTGAAGGATTACAGTGGCTATCACTGTGGTGTTAGTGGATATGCTATCCCGGTTTTAGGGCTGATTGGAATTTTATCTTGATGTCTGTAGGGCTTGCAGAGGTGCTCACATTGAATTGCAATAAATGACAGTAAAACTTGGAGAGACTGTCTGCCCAGGAATTCTCATTCTCTGCCTATTTTTTGCTAATAAGAAATTTGTTATGTCAAAGCAGTGAATAAACATTTATAACCAGAACTCTGCTTGGCCACTCTGTAAATCTGGAACCCCATATGCCTTTACTATTAGTGTATTTGACTTGTGCAAACATCAGTTCTTCACTCAGTTGTTGCCTCCGCCAAAATGCCACATGAGTTACACATTGGAACAGCAAGTGTTCGTGTATGATACCTACTAGTATGTGAAAAGTGACCATGAAAAAAAAAGGAAAAGAAGGTTCTAGCATGAACTCCAGAATGTTGCAGTTCCGCATAGAAAATTTATTCACATGTTGTAAATAAATTGACAAAGACAAGGCCAGTATTAAACAAACAAAGAACTGAATCTAAATGCTGAGCTCCAGCTGAAGATAAAGTTGATGAAGTCAGTGCTAGGCTTCAACATACACTTAAACAATCCCTCAGATGCCTTGGACGGGAGACTGGGATTTTAAGTTTGTATTTAAAAAGGAACATAAGGTATGAACTTTTTATAGAAGTGCTAGGAAGTATGTGTAGCAATGGGGAACATTTTCAGAATCTGCTGTGGTCTGGGTGAGTTGTTTTTGCGATTGCTTATTGATTCTGCTGGCAGTTCAAATTTTAGTAGCCCAGCTGGGCGGGAGTAGAATCACAGTTTTCCACCTGCGTGGCCTGGAAATTACAGCAGACTTATGTGATCGCACTATACTTTCATACTGGAATTCCACTTGAAACATTTGCACAAAAAGTGTCACATTTACTCACATGTATGTCGTGCAGTTTTTGAAATGCAAAGTGTTTAAAACTTATTTCCACTGGGGTAAAAGAGGCACACTTTGAAGTCTTCTTTAATGATTCCTTAGATAATGCACTTAGAGAAACATTCTGCATCTCAGTGCAAAGAAATTTCTTTCTGATCACATGTATGTGAATCTCGCAGCTTGTAAAGTTATATAAGTGACTGCATGTTATAATGCAGGAAATTAACGACAGATACGTAGCATATGAGATTATGTGCAAAAAAATGCTGGTACTCTTGAGAACTTTGTAAGCTGTTAAAGAGTTCTCTAAATAAGCTGTGCATTTTTCAGGCTTTACATTCACTCACTCATTCATGGATCTGAGCCCTTCTTGAGAAGCTGCCAATTGTGCAGCCACTCAAGAACTTCTCAGCGTTTTATGGAACCTGAAGGTTCATTACTGTGTTCACAAGAGCCCTCCACTGGTCGCTATTCTGAGCCAGATCAATCAAATCCATACCATCCCATCCTATCTCTCTAAGATCCAGTTTAACATTATCCACCCACCTACACCTTGGTCTTCTCAGTTGTTTCTTTCCATCTGGCTTTCCCACCAATATCCTATATGCATTCCTCTTCTCCCTCATTTGTGCTACATGCCCTGCCCATCTCATCTTCCTTGACTTGCTTATTCTGATTATACTTGGAGAAGAGTACAAGTTCAGGTTTTACATTACTGCATTTATTTCAGGACTATCCTGTATGTAAGTCTATTTTTATTTATTTATTTCTGCTCTCCTGCAGAAGCCATGCAGAGCTGCTTATCTATGATTGGTCCAGTTATGGAGATGTGGAAGTGGTGGTTGAGGACATTGAACGAATTGACTTTGATAATTTTGACAAATATGATCCCAAAATGAAGGACTGGCGGTTGACAAATGAATGGGACTGGAACACTGCCAGGATACGGTAAGTTGTTTATTGATTCACTGTTACATGGAAAACTACAGTTTTGAGATTATTAATCATAGACTTTGTTTCTTCGCCTTAAGCAGACTGAAGGAAATGTGATCTGATAACAGCATATATGAATTGTTGGTATGATATTTTTCTTATGAACTGTTTTCTTGGGTATAGATAGTGAGTAAAATCACAGTGATGCATAGACATATGATGTTATATTTACGAAATGAAGCACTGCAACCAGGCATAAGGCTACTACATGGTAGGATGGATGAATGAAAGGATAATCACCATCATCCTTTACAGTATTGCAGTGGTCTGTCATATGTACTTCAGAGCAGAATGTTTCTGAGGGTCTTAGTGAACACCATCTGAATCAGGATTTTACAAAGAGCTCATTCACATAGTTTGTTTTCAGATTTTTATGTAGTGGTACATAAACTGATACCTGCTGTTTTTGATAACACTGGAACATATGCAGTTCATAGTAACATAGAAGTATTATTCCATCACTGAGGCATCTCTCTCTCTCTCTCTCCTGTTGCTCCCACTTGGAGTGTAGGGCATCCGAGTAATGTTCTTGTTTCACTTCAGTTTCTTAATCTTATGAGAGTCAGTAGGACTCCTTGGATGGAGGATCAGCCCATTGCAAGGCCACTACCTACATAGGTCAACACAAACACAGAATAAATGTACACAGACTTCCATGCCTTAAGTTGGGATTTGAACCCATGACCCCTGAGTTCATGTGGGTGAAGACAGTGCTGAGGCATCAGCAGACTTCTCTACTGTTTGAAGACGGAATGTATGCATTAGTAACTGAAGTGCTATATCATCACCCATAGGTACACCTCTGAGAAAGATGACCTGTTGACCTTGTTCATGATTCCACGACTAGATGTCCCAGAGTTGGTTCTTAATGCCCATGATGTACATAAGTTGAATCAGGTGTGGTGGAATGTAAGTATCATGACGTTAATTTAGCTTTATGTCATGAATATAATTTGTCTATGTAGTGGATATAATACTGCATTTTGTGGAAAACTCTAATAAGTCTATGGTAAAGTTAGAAGTTATACTTCTATTATAGGGTAATATGAAGGACAGCTTACATTATTTTCCTATTCCAATTTGCATTTAAAAGTGAATGGTAATACATGTACAGTGCTTTGGCACCTTCTGACGGACATTATGAATGTAAAATGTATGTGTGCAGAGTATTCTGTGAGGTGTAAGTTTGAGAGGTTCAACAGCAATTTACATTTAATCACTGTAATTCTTATATTCTAGCTTAGTCATCTCCATTTTTAATATTCGTCATACATGCTTGTCCTCAGATTTTAAATTAATGTCCCATGAGAAATCTTAAATGAAGATTTCATGATATTGTCACATGTGAGTAATTCTAGTAAGGGTTTGGACTGATTAGTGTATTTATGAATCCTTATGACTCAAAACAACAGATGACTACAATGTTGTCACTGGCTTACTCTCTCTACAGATCACTACAGCACACACTAATCTTCGTTGCTTCCAAGCTCATGGCTAACCACCGTGAGTGCTGACTCCCAACTAACTGGCCTGTAGGTCCTCATTAATTAGCCTCGATATGGACCGCATAGAAAACCCTGCTTTTCCATGGTTCTGTTGTTGTGGGTGTGTACGTTGCCATGGAAATGTGTTTATTGTCCTGTTACCTAGCAATGAGTGTCTCTTCTGTTCTGCCTTCCAGCCATCATTTCAACAATATTATCAAAATTTTATATTATTATAATGCTACTCCATGATAATTGATGAGTATGTAGATAAAAGAATATAAAATTTCAGTGTAAATGAATAAATTGTGAATTTCTTTCACTATCGTCTTACAGAAGAAAAAGATTACATTACATATATTGCATTAAAGAAGATGGCGGAACAAAATATAATGCAGGTCTACCATGTCTGAATGAAATTGATGTGGCAGTTTGAGCACTGCTACAAGCAGAGGATGAATATGACCAAAGATATAGACAGTTTTAATTTTTTTTTAAACTTATGCCTAAAGAATAGTTATATTTGGTTAATATACATTCATCCAGCATAACAAACATAGTTTCATTGCATAACTTAAATTACAAGCTTTGAAGTGTGAAGTTCATGTAAACGTTAAAAATTCAGTTTACTGCACACAAAAGAAACAGTGTCTCCATTAAAAAGACCAGTTTGTTAATGCAATGTAGGAAAATAATTTTATTTATTGTAAAAATCATAGAAAACACATGAATACACTGTTTGGGAAAAATACAGAGGTTTTAATGTTGAAGCAGGTAGTACATATAGTAACCACTATGATTTTAAGTGTTAAGACAAGTCACATTTCCTAGCCTCAGTTGCTTTGTCATACATGGCTACATCTTTTGTTCTCTGTTGCATTTGTTATGTAACTCTCATCGTGGATTTCTCTTCATGTCATACAGAATTAAATGTTACTGTACTGAACTCGGCTCTTCCATGCAAGAAATAATGTAATCATTCATATCACTGTCTTCTGGGATGACATCATGTAGTTTGGCCAGTAGGTACCAGGGCTTTGGAGGAAGCTCCTGTCCTGCATCCTTATTAATCTTCTACCCAGAAAGTGGAAGTAGCACATTCCTCTGAAACATTAGTACCTCTCTACGATTCTACTCTTAATGGGGAAACTGCAGGTTTCTCCAAAGTATTGGTACCTCTGTACTAAATTACAGTGTCACATCCCACAAGACTGTGATGTCAACATTCAGTGGATTGAAAACCTGCAATCGTCATGTTAATAAGAACATTAAAGAAATCATTTAAGTACATCACTGCATCTGATTACATGAGAAACAGCAGGAGAAAAATGTTGTGTCCGTTGCATTGTTTGCATTTAACATATGCTGCCTTAGACATGTAAAACATTGATATGATCGTATTGCTTTTGTTCTGTACAGGCTCCAGGAATGAAGTATGACAAGGAATTTAACACTGATATGGGGGATACCAACTTGCTCTTTAAGACTAAGAAACAAGACTACAGATCAACCACCGCTTGAAAATGCTGCCAGTGTGACAAGAAGCTGTGAAGTGATAAGGTTGGTACTGCTATAATAAAATATTTTAGAACTCTTAATAGAGTAATAGACTGATCTGTTCAGAGCCCATAAATGATGTAACAAGATAACATGTTAAAAAAGTTTGTAAAATGAAGGAATTTGAGTAGTATGTTTCATTCATGAGTGGCATGCAGAAGAAATAGTTACTGTGCAATAAAAATAAAGTATGTAAGTAATGTTAATTATGCTAGTTGTGACAAATTATATTATGGCTATCATCCACATACAGAAGATAACTACACAGATTACAGGAAATGCTTTTGACTTATTAATCATTAGGGTACCTGTGTGGAAAACAATCAGTGAACACAATGAACCTCTACTGTTACAAAATGTAGGTAGTTCGAAGTGCCCATGATAAAAAATTACAACCTTCCACATAAAGTTCAATTATCTGATGTTCACTGCTGACACACCTGCTAGGCATTGTGCTTAGTAAAATGGGGGAATGTAGTTTGTATTATAAATACGTTAATTTGATATAAACCACAAAATATTTTTCAGTATGTTTGAGGGAGCTCTTGTATATCTTTGAAACAGGCTCCTTAATTTTCTTTATACCATTCACAATTTTGTTGCTTGCATCCTTGGATCTAGTTATGACCATGCTATAAATGTAAAGGCAATAGCTGACTACCTCTTCTTAGTGCTTCTCTGTGCGTCTAATGTCAGGACTACACTTTTCCCCACCTGATCACTTGTGGGTAGTGCCAGGTTTATTGTATTCAGACTTTCTGTATCCTTACAGCGCAACTTAGTCAGTGTCACTCATTGTGCTAACAGCATCATCGGTCTTTAACCCTCCGTTATAGTTACTTCAAACCCTATATTTCTTAAATTACATGAAATTTAGGATACTTGTCCTCGAAAACTGCAAAACTGAAGCTACAGTAATTCACTAGCTGGATAAATACTATACACACCTTTGTTGATTAGTATGGTTTTTGGTTATATTACACGTTATTGTTGTTCTTGTTTAATTACTGTGTACATGATGTGGAGTGCTGTCTTCTGTAACTCTGTGGCCCTAGTCTGCAAGCGAACTGTACCAACCAAGCGACTGCTGCTTGTTGGCGAAATCAGTGCCAACTTTTGTGGATAGAGGGTGACATGTGGTCAACGCAATGGATCCCCACAGACATTAACCTCGGTTTTCTGGACTGGAGCTGCTATTTTTCCATTCAAGTAGCTCATCAGTTATCCTCACAAGGCTGGAGGCTGAGTGGGCCCCATTCCAGACCCACTACTTCTCACAAAATCTTGTAGTGCTGGGAATCGAACTCGGGACATCTGGATGTGTAGCCAGGAACTCTGACCACTAGACCATAGAGTGTCTTCTGTAAGCAGTCCTAAATTGGAAGAAAGTCTGGAGCATCTTATCTTGGTAGTGGTAGTGTGATACTTTTTCAGATCATCCTGCCCCCCCCCAATTCTTATTATTATTATTCTGTACTGGCTACCATGTGTCATTTTATTTTTCTCCATTTGTACCTTTTCTTCCTTTCTACCCATTTCATGTATATTCCCTTTTCCTTCATATTGTATTTGTAGTCAACATGCTTAGAAGCAAAAAGCCCTGCCCTACAAGGAATGGTTCTTGAAAATGTAAAGATACGTGTGTGTGTGTATATATATACACACACACACATACTATATCCCACAGGCTTACGTAACGGTATCACTGCCACAATAATTCTTGGTGGAGGTTTTGGTATCTTTCATTACTTTGTATTAAACTTCACATTAGCTTCAGTTTCTCTTTTATTTTCTGTTCAGCCTTTCGTTTCCTGTCTTTAATATATTCCCTTAACAGTGCATTGAATGCGTGGCGTTCAAACATGCGTTGTGACACTTTCACTTTCGCTCGTGGATGAAGTGGGAGTACCAGGGATCGTGTAAATGTAGTGGAAAATATTGGCACCATGGTCTTGTATGTTTGGTTCACATGTGCCCTCTTACAGCTGACTTCCCTGTTCACAGCTGTGAACAGTTTGTACAAGTCATCTGTTGGGCGTGCACAAAGCAGCTGCTGGCAGACTGCCTGGATAAACCAGGTTCCTGAAACATGACATTGATCGATTAATTAGTTTAACACTGGCAAGTGTTCAACACCACAAATACCAAAGTCTGCCACTGGACAGAATTGTAAGGCACATCAGTTCATTGTCCATCCTCATAGTGTACTTCCATAAGATTCATCTTGCCATCTTGGAATCTCATGTAGCTATTTTCTAAGGGGTTAGCCCAACAAAATTCTGTATGTAGTCCTTGTCTCCCCTATCCTGGTACACGCTTGGCCCATACAATTTATAAATATTCTGGAACTTCACAATTTAATGCCTTAACTTCAGAAACATACAATTATCTCAAATAATTCTCATACAGAAATGTCATATAAATGTATCCAGTTCTCAATGGCTATGGATTTATCATTTCCAGAGCATTAAAAAATACAAATAAGTGAACAAGCATTTACAACAGTTCAAAGTGACCACCCTCACACTCATCCTGGCTTGTCTGTGACTGGGCATGTAGTTCATATCATTTCATTGGAATTGTCCTTTATACCAACTGCAGGAAGGTCATGGGATCGAATCCCAGTGAGGTTGATTTTTTTTTTTTTAATTTACCTAATCCTTTCACCCACACTTTGGCCCCAGGGCCGACTCAGCCTTTAACAGAAATGAGTACCACGAATATTCTTGGGGATAAAGCACAGCTGGTGTGTAAGNGGCTGACAACCTTACTGCCATCTATGAGCAGATTGTCTAGAAAATGTGAGAACCTCAACATCTCACAACCCTATTGGCCTCCACAGCTTGTCACAGGGATACCTTTTACTTACTTACCAACTGCAGCAGAGAAAAATATCTTGTTTTTTCACTTCTTGCTGATACATTACATCTTTCATATGTTCCCACAGATAAAAATCTTTGGGTTAAGACCTGGATGGCCAGTAATCTGGACTACTCCAACTAATGAACTGGAGAAGTGATGATCTAAAATAACATTTTCACTTCATAGCTAGGTCTAGAAAACCGAAATTAATGGCCGTGGGGATTTGTTGTGCTGACCACGCGACACCCTCTATCCACTAAAGTTTGCATTAACTTTGCTGACAAGCAGCGGTTGCTCGGTTGGTATAGTTCGCTTGTGGACTCAAGCCACGTAGTTTTGTTTTTGTAAACATGGGGAGGTGATNTAGCTACTGGCAGGGCCTCCCTTGCTGGACAGGTCAAAGGGTAGGCATCAGACGAAGAGAGACACCAAAAACTGATGCCGGAAGCAGCGTCATCAGCAGCAACTTGAAGCACAGAGCAAATGATGCTCGAGACAGTTCAAGTTCGTATAGCAGCAGGCGTGACCAGAGTGGTTTGAATGGCTGTTGTACTGCGATGTGGAAAGCAAATGGAAAAACTACCACATTATCACTTTTCCTGGATAGTCTCTTTCCAAAAACAGAAGATCGTATTAAGTGAAGGAACTGTTTTGGAAGAGACTGTGGTCCTGTCGTCTGACAGATTACTGATGGATGGATGGGGAGGTGATCTGTCATATTGTAAATGCCTACATAATCTGTTTCCAAAAGTACTTCTAACAGAACCCAACAGTTCATCCGCATAAATATTAGGTAAATGTCATGTATAAGATGATGACATGCAAAGATAAAGTGGTCCAGTTGTGTGATTATGAATCTGCTGATTGACACTCAGCTAGTTACAAAATTCCAGCCACTGAGCATGATCCGCAGCTTCAAAATGCTCAGTGCATTGTATGTGGTGTTAACATACCTTACCGTTGTAGCATTCTCCCTACTCTCATTTGTCGAACATGAAGACGCTCAGGTTTCATTCACATACTAACAAGAACCTTCCCCCCAATATGATCTGAGTAATGTTTTCTCTGGCCATATCTCATACCAACTACTGTTCTGTGGTGTCTGGAAAGTCCAAATAATTTTAGGCTTGCAAAGTGTCACTGATATCCAGCGGCACATGTATTCCCATTGCAAAGCCCATAAGGCATAAGAAAATATAACTTCATGGAGCTGAACCCTTCTTGAGAAGCTGCCAATTTTATGGAACATGAAGGTTCATTACTGTGTTCACAAGAGTCCTCCACTAGTCCCTATCCTGAGCCGGACTGATCCAGTCCATACTATCCCATCAATATTATCCACCCACCTATGCCTTGGTCTTCCCAGTGGTTCTTTCCATCTGGCTTTCCCACTAATATCCTACATGCATTCCTGTTCTCCCCCCATTCATGCTTAATGCCCTACCCATCTCATCCTCCTTGACTTGATCATTCTAATTATACTTGGAGAAGAATACAAGTTATCTCCATGCCCAACCCCCAAGCTGGAGGACCAGCCCTTGTTGGATGTCCATGACTGCTTATTCAATATATTTCTAGCTACCCTCCATAACTGGAGGTCATTGCCTCCATCTGCAACCTGGGGACACACCTATCATGGCAGGAGAACATTAGGCATAACAACACACGAAACAAACATTTTATAAGAGACAAATCTATGTACACGGCATCTGCCAGTTTTGTTCAAGGTCATGCATGTGCATGCCAACATGAAATTTGCGTGACTTACATGCAAACCATTCTTGAATTTCAAATATTCATTGCTGTGTAACCAATGAGAATAGCACAGAACAATTCTGACGCGGAATGACCTCAGCTCCTAGCTCCTGAAGTTCAGATAGTATGTCATGAATCACTCTGTGTATGGGTAAATCACTGGATTTAATTATAGATGTTTAAAACTCTGTACCTTACGTGGATATAAGAACAATGCTTATGAACTCACCTTCAATTTCATGTCTAAATGAAGCAAAGCCAGGTACTGTGGACCAGAATGTCATGCAGTCAGTTGACTTGACTCTGCTGAATGCTGGACCATCAGTTGCAATGTCCTGACTCAACACAGCTGTCATCAAAATTGGCAAGACATTTATTGAAGAACCCAGTACAGCCCAAAATTGTGTGGTCATCATATAAATTTTTTCCTTAAGTGGTCTTATGTTTTACATGGTGATATTATACTAATTCTTCAAGGTACAGTCCATTCTGATAAGACTTTAAAGGATTCTGATGATGGTGTATACTGTACTTCTTTTGGTTTGTTTTGGACTTCATCCATTGTCTGGTATGTAAAAGACAAAAGACCACAATGTTTCGGAGACTGGATCTGTCTCCGTCCTCAGGTGGGTAGGGCAGGATAAACCTACTCAGATGGGCCCGTTAGAAAGAGCTAGGTCTCAATCAACGGGACATACCAGACAATGGATGAAGTCCAAAACAAGCCAAAAGAAGTACAGTTCATTCTTTTTGCAAACATTCTTGACTCCACATCTTCTGAAAATAAGGCATAAGAACTAGCCTAACAAGTCAGAATTTGTGGACTTGGCACTGTTGTGGAGCTCTTCATGTGTTATAGTTTTAAAACCAGTTTCAGGAACTGTTCTGTCTGATGTTACTGCATTCATGACCCTTGACTGTATGCCACCATGCATTGGGGGCTATAACATAAAATCATGACACTTTTTGTGGAGTACTTCACTACACTCCTCTGGACACCTGTACCATCACCTTGCTGTACAGAGGCAACCCAACTACACTAACAATATACACAACCACTGACCGATTCAGAGACTTTTTGAAGTGCTAGTGGTTTATACGGCTGCTGCATGCTTTAAAAGTCTCCAAACATTATCCATAATTATTCATGGAAAACTCAACCTAAACTTTATGCTGGTTATCTTCTTCACCTAAATGTAATGGTTATATAACCATATGTCACCATGCAGGCTAAGGTTGACATACAAATAATACAGGCTGTAAGAGAATGGGTCCTACTGCTCTGCTAGCAACATAAATGTCTGTTAAGACATCATTAATGAGTAAATTTCTATCCATATTAATGTGCTGTGCTAGCTGTGAAGTTAAATTTTTATAAGTACATCTCTAAATTAGACTCACCATCTTGCTGTGTCTGGCCCTGGCATGCCTGGATGATAAGGATCTTTGGTTTCCCCATCAGCTTTGCACAATCTTTCATTAGATTCTCTAAGTCATCCACATACACAGGAACACTGTTTGTGCCATACACTGCACCTACAACAGTCACTTGGTAGTGAGCTTCAAAGATCAGTATGTATGTCCCCTTCCAACAATTAAAGAAACTGGCCATGCAGAGTTGTGCACAACAAGTAACTGTTAAAGAAGCAACAGCATGATTTTATGTAGCTGATATGTTAACCTTAAAATTCCCAGTCATATTCTCATATAATTAAATGCTTTTCTCATCATCATAACAACCAGCTAAAGCAAGTATTTTTTTTAAATCTCAGTAGAGAAACAAAAGATCAAGTACAGTTAATTTGCTTTGACACCTTATGTAATTATTAGTGTCAGTAAGTGTACAAAAGAAATTCTCGAATACATTAATTTATTACCCTTCTCTTTATTATTCCCTTGTTTTTGTGATCTCTAATTTCAGTCTGTTTAAAATTATGAGGTTCAGAAAATTTCTAGCATTTATCAATATTAACTTTATTTCAAGACTTGCAGCTTGGTTACACTGCTCCCATCGCCTCTCGAACTTTCTGAAGTTCTGTTCAAATGATGTTTGTTTAATTGCTCCCATGTCATCTGTCGTTTTCATAATGATGTCCATCACCATTTGAAATCTTCATTTAGGGTAATAGAAGAAAGTCTGGAAGGGACAGATCAGGCAAATAGGGCGGTTGTGGAAGGACATGAATTGAACGCTTTACCAAGAACTCTTGCATCGGTAATGCTGTGAGAGCTGGTGTACTGTCATGGAGGAGGAGCCACATTTCTGGTGGTCTTCTTCCTACTACATCCCTCAGACACCTCAGAACTTCCACATAATAAGCTTGATTAAGTCTCTGGCCCACTGGTAGGAATTCATGATAATAAACACTGTCTTCCTTTCAGGTGCACCTNGTGACACCTGTTATTTTGTATCATCATCATCATACCCATAAACCAAAGTTTCATCTCCTGTAATGATGGTCTGAAAAAATGTTCATCATCTGCTCCTTGCAGATGTTTACAAACTGAAATACACCGAATTTTCAGGTCTTCTGTCAAGAGCCTTGGCACACATTTTGCAGACCCTCAAAGCATCCCTAAATCTACCATTAAAATTATGTAATATGAGCCAACGTATATTTGCCGTCTCTTCTGCTACATCCTGTACAGTCAGTCAAATTTGCATGAATGTCTTTCACTTGGCCATAATGAATGTCATACTTCACTTACAAAAAATTGTCTGTGAGTGCCATACCAAGTCATGAGTGTATTTGGATTACAAATTTTTGCAATATGTAGTAGAACACATGATGTAATATCAGAAGTGACATCAGACCAGTACATGTGCACAACTAGTGTTCCTGTAATTTAATGTGACAAAAATGGTTGGCAATCAGCTCATTCTTCCAATGTGCAGTAATTTGGCTCCTTTTGAAAGAGACATCTGACATGTAGATACCTGTGGCTGACTACATCATATGTATATAGATGCATGCATGGGACCCAGCAGTTTCAGCAGGTGGGTAAAACGCTATGAAGACAGAAATACGGCCAATGAGCCATGCTGTGGTTAACTGAGGAACAGCATGTCTGAACATGTGAATAAAGTTCCTGCTGTCATCAGAGACATCAGAAGAGTTATGGTTAAGGAAATTACAGCAGGTTGGTTTAGGACATCAAGCCATATAGGAGACAGCAGATACATAAGTGTCCAAACTCACCACGAATGCCATGTGAAAGGATGCACAGCACAAAACACGAATGCTCTTGCTTCACAAACTTTGTAATAGCTGAATTAACACTTTCCAGGAGATCAGTGTGTGTGAGGTTCTCTACAATATAAACTGTGAAGCCCAGACTATTGAATGTTTCACTCAGACGATCTCGGTCAACATCTGTCCCAAGTCGTGGTGTCAGTTCTTCATCTGGAAGTTCTCTCTGTCAACCCAATAACACTACTAAATTGTCATATTGTTCTAGACATCAAAACCTTAACCTTCACAAAGAAGAAACCAGCATGAATGAAGTCCTGCTATGCCCACCTTCAGACAAGGATTCGGTTCCATATAGAAGTTTTTCTGATTGATTATAATGCAGTAGCCAACATTATTTGAATCCACAGGGTATTCGCCTTCCGTCACTCTGTCCACCTGGTCACAACTTGAGGCAACACTATGTTGTGACATGCTGGATGGCTGTGACCTGCATTCTGTGAGGGACCTGTATATTCATATACTCCATTTTAATTAATATTTGCAAATCAGATTAAGTACTGAATCTGCCTACAATGGAAGATGCATTAAAACTGTTTGGTATGGAGAACAAAAGAGACTTATGTCTTTTGGGTCATAGTTCAGTTATGATGAACAGTTATGCATATACACTTCAACCTTGCCAATGCAATGCAAATAAAAACTGAACACTTTATTTATACTTACAAAATGAAATTAATGTGTAATGAATGAATGACATGCTTCAGTGAAAACAGTTTTCTTCACACCTGACAAGTAATAGCAACATCTTGGAAAACAAAATTTAATTTGTACATAGTAATTAGGCAAACAAAGTGGACGGAATGATTTCCAGTGCACAAGATCCAGTCATATGTTGAAATTTCATCTACTGGAAAGAAAATCATTATTTGCACAACCAAAAGGTGCTCTGTTTCTGCTTACAGTCCAGTTGGATTTAATTAGTTTGAAGCACTTTAAATGGTGACACAAGAAACTTGTTCCTTTGTTTGCTTTTGAGGCATGATGACAACCATACGGCATGCCCACTGTGGAACTACAGATGGTATGGATCCTATCCGTGTACCGTTATAAAAGGATTATTTTCATTACAAGTGTGGTAAATTAAATGCCTTCATTTGATCAGGTTAGAAAATTAAACATGTGTTGTACAGTTAAGTTAAATAGCCGTTTCACAACCATATCTTACATATGTAATATCAGAAAGTTGAGTGTATTACAATCATGGCATTTGGAGCCCGTAACGTGTACATACATAATTATTATTATGATTTAAACTGCTGCATGTGTTACATCTGTTACTGCACTNAGCCGTTTCACAACCATATCTTACATATGTAATATCAGAAAGTTGATTGTATTACAATCATGGCATTTGGAGCCCATAACGTGTACATACATAATTATTATTTAAACTGCTGCATGTGTTACATCTATTACTGCACTGTCAAACTGATGTGTTTATTCACATATATGCACAAACAGCAAATATGGGTGGGTCTGAATCATAAAGGATAGCTCCTAATTAGCAGTCAGCTATGGGTACAGGAGGTTATGTAAGTTTGAGGAAATTTAACTCTTCAGTCGAGGTAATGCTAATGATAATAGCAGTGCTGAATTATTCTTCGTTATTTTCATAACTTCAAAGATGAAGAAATATTGCCATACACACATTATTATTCAACCCTGAATGCCACAGTGTATTACACATAACTGTAAGTTCAGGGACACACGTGTAATTATGTATTTCAACTGTTTTTACATATGAGTGTGTTAGAATGAGCATTTTTTTTGCAGATTTTATAAACTGTAAATACACATCACTGCACTGTACTTGTATTTCATATATGTTTTCGCTTAAGATCACGAGTTCTGTGATTGTCTATGAGAGCAAAAAAAATTAGAATTCACAAATTGAAAGTATACATGCAAAAAACAGAACAAATTAATTATAACCATTACAATGTGTACACATTTTCCAATTTGTGTAAGTGTCCTATGGCAGACTGGAAATCTCAGTATAGTATTTGTCATATATGTCTTCCTAAATTGGCAGGGCATGTAGCATGAATGGGGGAGAACAGGAATGCATATAGGATATTGGGAGGAAAGCCAGATAGAGACCACTGGGAAGACCAAGGCGCAGGTGGGTGGACAATATTAAAGTGGATCTTAGAGTTAGAGAGAGAGATTGGAGGGTATGGATTGGATTGATCTGGCTCAGGATAGGGACCAGTGGAGGGCTCTTGTGAACACTGTAATGAACCTTCAGGTTCTATAAAATGCTGGGAAGTTCTTAAGTAGCTGCACAATTGGCGGCTTCTCAAGAAGGGCTCAGCTCCATGAGTGATTGAGTGTCTTCCTAAATTATCTTGCAATTCTGTAATTATAGTACCTTTGCATCATTTCACTCTTTGTGCTCCCCAGTTGTATCTAACTGTACACAGCCTGCACATGATATGTCTTCTTACCCAAGACTGGAAATCCGCACTGTGTCGGCATCTGGCTGATTCATTCCTAAGGCATTCACAGTTGCTTTCTCTGCAGACTCAAGTTTCTCCACAAGAGTTGTCTCTCCCATGGTCTTCAGCTGTGTCTTTAACCTATGGACATCCACTCCTCGTCCGTCCTTGTCTCCCAAACTATACACACATACACAAAACTATTAGTGAATAATGGGGGACAATTGCTCTTTTTTAAGATAATTTCGCACTCATCAAGGAGAGGTTAATTACATTTAGAAATGTATCCTTCGGTATGTGCAGAACTTTAAATTTTACTGTATGTGTACTTCTAGGTAATTTTCTTCCTGTGAGGGAGTAAGCAACTCAACTTATAACAACAAAAATAATAATAATAATAATAATAATAATAACAATAATTTTAACCCTTTTGTATGTACATAGTGCAGTCAGTAGATATAATTTTTTTTCATTAAATTTACCAAATCTGTGGTATAGTCTAACCAAAAACAAATCTGCTTCCTTTCATGCCAATTATTATCTAGGAAGAATGGCATACATTTTGATGTGGTCTACAAGAATATTTTGTCATCCATGAAACATCTACCCAAACCCCACTTTTCTGTCACAATTATAAGCATTTAAAACACAAAAATAACAGTTACAGGGTCATTAACAGGCTAGTTGGCTGGGGCTATCACACCTCAGGAGTGGTTACATTTACATATGTAGTATTAATGAAAGTGTTAATAGCAGGGGAAAGCCATAGTACAGAATGAGAAATTGTTCCAATTAAATTTTCTTTTCTTCACCACAAATCTTGTGAATGGGACAGATAAACAACTTGTGTGGGCATATCATCTGTGAATCCTTACAAATATACAAAATCTCATAGTTCATAAGTATTACACAACCTTTAATATCTGATGTTATACAATAATTTATCATTTCCTGCTTCACTCTGTCCTCACCTGATATAGCCTCGAGATGACCAATAAAGTAAATTGACTTCCATATATTCTGGATCAAAACTTTGCAACTCAACTCCTTTCTGGAAAAGTCTGTAGTCTTCTTTGACATATCTCAGAAGCTTCTTTAAACCATCAGAGTCCAGTGACTCACAGACATGATACAGAGCTTTCCGCATGCAGTTAACAAACAAAGAGGACTCTGGTGATCTGGGCAGAAACCTGCTCTTTTCACTCTCTGCATTGCAACCTAGTTTCTGTAGTATCTGATAGTTCTGAATGATGCATAATGCCTCCAGAAGTTTATTCTCCCATAATCCATCTCTTTGTGTCCTAATCCATGGTGACAACAGGTCTGGTTGGATCAGGCTTCCAGCAAGTCGTGCACTTTCAGCTATCATTAGTCTCTGCAGAATGTAGTTGACATCATCATACAGCAGAAATGCCAAAGAAATCTACAGATAAACAAGGCAGAGTTGCCCATTAGTTAAAATATCACAGACAAGTAAGAAACTGAACACTTAATGAACTTCACACCATGTTCAGTTTGGTTCAATTTTTAGAAGTTTTGCATACTACTACTGCTGCTGATTCTGTAATTTGAGATATTATGTCAAATGAGTTCGGTCCAGAAAACCAAAATTAACAGCCGTGGGGATTCAATGCACTGCCCAGACAACACCCTCTATCCACTAAAATTGGCACTAACTTTGCCGACAAGCGGCAGTCGCTCAGTTGGTATAGTTCAGTTGCGGACTAAAGCCATGGAGTTTGTTTGTTCGTCAAACGAGAAGAGTAAGAGCAGTGAGTCTAGAGGTATTTGGAGAAAGCAGTTTAGTCACCTCCAAGGTACTCTCAGGATTATCCATATTTATGACATCCAAGGTTCACAACCATCATCACAAAAGCCTACCAGTAGGTTCAAGTTTCAATAAGTTTCATACAGTGTATGGCCTAACTCATTTCCTTAAAAAGTGTCTTAATATTACACTGTCCTCTATCTGTCTCCCAAGAGTTTTTTTACTCCCCGTGACTTGTTAAGAGTGTACTTGTAGCTCATGTTAAGGTAATGACAGCTGCAAAGCAGACATATGAACTGTATGAGCAAACAGAAAATTACTTGTTGGGATTTAGTTATCTTCGGAGGCCTGTTGCCCATATTGTGCCCCTCTGGACTCCTTACCTTTTCATAATATTCCAAATTATCCAGCTCTGCAATTACAGTGTCCTTTGTCAGGTTCTGACGAGGGAAGGCAACACTTCCCTCCCCAAGTACATTGTCAACCATTCCAAAGGCATCATTGGCAAGGCTGTTCGTACTGCTTTCTTGAGACAAGAGTTCTTCAATTACCATTTGAAAAGGATAAGGAACTTCATCTTGCATCACTTCTGGGTCCATTTCTGGACACAACAAAAATGGAAGTATTACAAGACATAAATTCTCATTTACATGAGGCTGAAGCCTAAAATGTTAAAGAATGGATAGAGACTTAACTGTTCATCAGTATCTTTACAAAATGATCAATATATCAGATATATATATATTTCTGTCATTCTTATATGCCTCATTGTGAAAATGAGGTCATGATTTTCTATGGTGACATCTCAAATATACAGGGTATTGGGACTAAGACTCACAATTCATTCTCTACTCATTTCCATAAATCAATATCCAGCTACAAAAACAAAGACTGCATACTCTTAACTTCAAAAGATTTCTAGTTCTCTACTGCCATTCTGGGGAACTCCAGTGTATACCAACCTTGAAGAATAAATATCCTAGTTAGGAAAAAAGGCAGGCAGCACCACCATGCAAGCCCCTTGCATGTCACAGGTTCTGGTACACTAAGTCTGCAGTTTTGCCACAGTAAATAGTTATATTTCTTCTGTATGCCATTACCGTCTTTGGCAAATAATATAATTCTGGGAAAAATGAAAGGAAAATTTGCACAATCATACTGTACCTACATCTGAGAATGGGTTTCAGAAAAAAACTTTTGACAACAGTCAAAGCATAGGACACTGGACAAAAAAATAAACTGCCAATGCCATCTTCAGGTACAAGAGATGACGTTCACAGTGACTGCCTGGTAGAATTGGAACTTGCCACTGTGGGACCGGGCATGTTGAAATAGTTAAGCTATAAATGAGCATAAGGAATGTTATTCTAAATGACTGTTCTCACATAGGGTTGGCAGCAATAATGTCCAGGATATCAGAGTAAGCATACCTATGGGCCCAACAAAGTAGAAATTTCTTCATATCTCCCTCCACCAGAAGATGAAAAGAGAACCCATACACAAAAAGTTGTTTTCTGTACAAAAATTATGAAGATGGACAAAGTCCAGTCAAATAGCTTTAAAAGGACCTATTAATATTAATATTCAGGCAGCTCTGCTCAAGCCATGACTGTTAACAAATTATTGAAACTGGTGAAACCTGCAAATGCAACACAAATTTTAATTCCCTTCCCCCCCAATGCAGGGGAGTGGTGATGCCTGGCTCTTCCTCCTCCCTCCCGCGATAATCATTCCAACATCACTACTACTTTTTTACGGTATCCCAGATCCTCCACAAGTGATATTTTGCAAAGCTTTCAGGATGAAGGCTAGCAAAAACTGAAATTACATAACTTCCTACAACTGTCCATTCTTATTAGCAAGCTGTTTTCAACACCAGAGTCCACAGGCAAAATCTATATTGTGTTTCATACCATTCTTCCTGAACTTCGGTGTTATGGAAACAGCTCCTGCTTCTCATCCACCCAACTACAGGTTTTACCATGACTGCATCCTCTGAGAGCCTCCGTGATCCAAGTGACTTACCTGCGACACGATTCAGATGTAGCATTCTTTAAAACTGTGGTTAGTCCATCTGCACTAATGCATTAAAACAGTCGTGCTAGTCTTCCTTATTGCCTAACGCAACAGATCAACACGCAGACGCCTCAAGATGACGTGTAAATTCTTCCCACAGATTATTCTACCGCTGCTCTCCGGTCATTCTGTTAGCAACGTATAACCGTTGGGAAAGCCTGCAAGAAACAAGTGCTTAGTCACTTAATTTTCACGATGTAAATATTTCCCTAAACATGAAACTGGCTTGGGAGTGAAAAGGGGAAACTACCGTTACTAACACATTGTCTTCCCATACTTCGCAATTCCTGGCACTTATCTTGTCACGTGATTAGCTTGACTCATACGATCCTGACCGATCCTGACCATCGAACGCGCTATGCTTGCTGCATTGAGCGGATCGGCTCGGATCAGTACCCTCTGCCAGTGATCCGTGCTCTCTACAGCGCTGGCTAGTTCGTCTGTGTGTACTTCTTGTTCACACCGGTCTCTGCCGCATAGCCGCTAGAAACGTATCCTCCATTTTAAAGCAAATTACGTACGTGTGCCAGAATGGAACATCGGGTAAATAATGAAGTTTTTAGACGGCAGTGAAAGGTAAGGACTTCCGTGTAATATGAAATGTTGTGACTTCAACAAATATAAAAGGGAATTAGTTTGCATGCTAAAAATACCGAAGGATATTTGATTTGAAGATGGAACGTTAGAAATGTTCATTAAAAATAAAATTCATTAAGGTTGTGTGTTGTCAAGATCTAGCAGAAACCATGGTTGGAGTAGAGGATTTGTACGGTCCGAAATAGTTTTCATATAAAAATGCTGACCTAGCTCTGGACACCGTAACAGCTACAAGATAGTCTGTCGAATGTCAACAGAGTGAAATAATTGACTTTCTATTTCAATATATTTTACACAAAACAATGAAGTATTTGTAGTATGGAACAGATTCATAGTGTTGCTTCTAATTCCAGTTGTACATTTATTTATTTTCGTTATAATGTAAATTACAAACGTGGAGATATAGTATTTGATTATTGACACCCAATAATTTCAGTTTACCATGACAAAGAACCTATTCCATATGAAGTAGTTGACATGCTGATCTCGTATATTTGCTGATTGGTGGATTTATCCTACGTGCATCATTGGTGGTCATCTTATTGCCTTTTCAGTCTATGACCCCTGAAGTAATGTCCTCGTCCACAGACCCTGCTGGTAAATGTTATCGGTATGTAATTTTCAATCAGTTAATTGTGTAGAACAAAATATATTTTTAGTGTTTCATTAACCATGTACTTAGATTCACGTCTGTGAGTTTCGCAGAAATCCTAAATGCCCCAAAACTCTTTCTGTCACCCTTCTAACACCCGATAAATGATGATTATGAATCCGTTGCTTCATTGTGAATCTTATCTTTCCTAACTGGTTTCAATAAATGTCTTGTGTAGGGAGGCATCATCTTCAACCATCACAAATTGTATGCAGTTAAGATAAAGTGCTGTGTTCAGTGATGAATCCCGACATACGGCTTTGTCACTAGATATTCCATTGCAGCTATTATACAAGGAGTTTTCAAATTTGTTGACGGGTTCACGGCTCTGCGTTTCACAGTGACCGGTGCGCCGCCGCTTGCTGCGAGGCGCAAACGAATTTTGCTGATGAATCAGACGCCTGATGGTCGATAACATTTGGAACGAAGAGAAATAATTATCTTGTGGACTGCTTTACGGCGAACAGTGCTGTTCATGCGTGGGAGTGTTTTTTTATGATTTATCAGCAGTAGACAGCAGTTGTTAGCTCTGTTAGCCATTTATTCTCATTTACGGTTAGTGAGCTGTTTATGGTTTGCCAGCAGTAGGCAGCAATTATTAGCTCTGTTAGACATGTGTTCTCATTTACAGTTAGTGAACAGTGTAGTACGTCTGGTGCAGTACACTTCAGAGCTACGTGTATTTCCGTATGACACGTATGTGAAATACTGATCTGCCAGAAAATTTCGGCGAAAATTTCAACGTAAATTTCGTGACGAGAGAGTTCCCAACAGGCAAACATTTCACAATTTGGTGAATAAACTTAGAACAACGGAACTCTTAATAGACAAGAAACAAAAACATAAGAGTCTAGTGCTGATTGAAAAGTTAGATGACATAGGGGCCAGACTTGAACATGCACCTAGAAAATCACTGACACGTCTAGCTTAAGAGACTAGAGTGTCAAAGTCTAGTGCAAGAACAGAAAACAATTGCTGAAGCTTAACCCTATAAAGCAACAGTAATACATGCACAGCTTGCATCCTCGTGATCCAGCTAGCAGGTTTCATTTATGCATTTGGCTTCTACAGTCTGTCGTCGAAGGTGAGATCGATCCGAGATTGACATTCCTCTCTGATGAAGCGTGGCCTCTCACTTTTAGGGAAATATAAATACTCAAAGTAATCGCTAGTGGAGTTCACAGAATCCATACTTAACACACGAAGTCCCCCTCTAGCCAGTGAAAGTTGGTTTCTGATGTGTTATAAGTGCAAGAAGGATGATTAGATCTGTGTTCTTAAGGAAACAGTTAATTGTGAATGACACTTACAGGTCATTCTCGGGAAATTCTTTCCAGAGTCGACGGAAGTAGAAAGACTATGGCTGGTTTCGGCAAGACTCATATACTGTCCACATTGCACATGTGTGTATGTAACTTTGTCCGATGTCTTCGGGAACAGAATTATCAACAGTGGTACTGACCAGCACGTTCACCCGATCTTAATCCTTGTAATTATTTCTTCTGGGACTATTTTAAGGACAAAGTTTACAACAGTGACCCCCGAATGGAATAACCAAAAGAAAATATTCGCAGAGAAATTGCAAATAAATCAAACCCTCTTCCACCGGTGCGAGAAATGTCTACATGTAGAGGGACAGCATTTTCAATATCACCTGTGATCAAAGGTAAGAACTTCTCTTTATTCCGAACGTTATTGGCCGTCAAGCATGCTGTTTCATCGGCAAAATTCATATGCTCCTCGCAGCAAGCGCTGCATCGGCCATGATGAATCGCATAGCCATGGAACCGGTCAACAAAGTACAAATCCTCATGTAGATGTGCCATGTATAGAAAATAATCCCATTCCACTAAAACAATGAAAATTATACAGTTTCTCTGTCGTTATAAAATTCTGAGCCACTATTTCGAGCAGGCTTCACGTGCACGTTTGCCATTGAGTCCATCGCAACAGGTAAGAGTGTTCCATGGAATCATGAACGTATTTTATACCTATGCATCTGTAATTCAAAATACATTATTACGATTATGATTGAATTCAGGATATAGAGCACCGTGCCTGTNAAAAAAAAGAACTCTTTCGAGAGCTTTGATTTTGCAACAGCAAATTCAATCGCTGATAACTACATATTTAATTACCTGTAAGCCTACAACATCAGGTAGATTTCAACAGACATAAGAATTTCTACGTACTTCAAGTCAGAGCCATTATCTGCTGCCTATTTCCTCGCTTTTGTTCCTTCCATATATAAATGGCTTCCTAGCTTCTAATTTTGTGAGTTCAGGCCCCTGCTGCCAGGAAACTTCCCCAATGCAAATCATCCTTTAAATTAATATACTTTCATCTCGGTTTGGCTTCAGTTCGTATAAAGTACCTGGTAATAAAAAGATCTAGCTTTTGGGATATAACTGCGTGTAGTCCGTTGAAAGTTATGATTTTGTTGAGGTTTTGTATAGATCGCCGTGGCGTCTTTTCTGCTGGCTTTGCTAACAGTATCTTCGATGCATTTCTCTTCGTCACTTTCGTGCTACCTGCCCTGTCCATTTCATCCTCCTCGACTAGATCATTCTAATTATTCTTAGCGAAGAATACATGTTATGAAGCTCCTCATTATGCATTTTTCGTCAATCTCCCGTCACTTACTCTCTCTTCGGTCTAAATATTCTCCTCAGCACCTTGTCCCCTAATGTCAGAGACTAAGTTTCGTACAAATACAGAATCACAGGAAAAATAATAGGTTTGTATATTCTAATTTTTATGCTTTTAGGCAGCAGACAAAAAGACAAAATCTCTGGGCTGAATGTTGGCAAGCATTGCCCAAATTCAATCTTCTCTTAATATTATAAGCAAATTTTGATTTGTTATTGCCCTTCACAAATATTTGAACTGTTTACATTTTCAAAACATCTGTTAGCTATCTTTATGTCCTGATTCTGTCCTGCATTCCTACTTCCAATTTCTTGAAAATGAGAGAGTACGTGTAGAGACATCTTCTAATAGTATTGAGAACCAAGCGTACATTCTGCAAGCCTCTGATGCCTCCGATCTTCCATCATTGCCGATCAATGACGCGAAGTGGTAGAAGATCGAGCGAAGAAGTATGTTTGCTATATTCTTTCATATGTTTCACGCAATAGGTATAGCGTAAACTAAAATTAATGTGCAATATCTTAATGGAGGTTAATTTTATGCAGTGGAGTCGGTTCTGCATGGCTAAATGCATTACGGAATTACGTATGGGTAACCATCTTGACAAGTTTTGTGAATGTTGTGTCTCTTCTACGAAATGTCTTTTAATCATAAATCGTGAGATATTCGGTGTGTACCTCCGTCGAACGTCACATGAAACAAAGCTGATCCACAATGCAGGTTTCCAAAATTATTTTGAATATAAATGAATGCCTTCAATGCTTGTGCTTCAGTGCAGAATATAGTCTTGCCTTTTCACCACCCTAACCAGGTGTAACCGGTCGCGAGTCAAGAACTGCCGTATACTACAGTCTAGTTGCAGAATCAGCATGTAATGCACCTACAGGTTTCACTAAACCACTAACAGGCAAGTATACAAATGTGCAGCTATGAAAACGTTTTGCTTTAATTTAGGTATTCCAAATAAGATCTAAAAGTTTGTGACGATGGTATATTGCTACAGGTATTATGTTTTTGGGCATCCATTGTCTTGTCTATTTTTGGTCCGGAGATAGGGGCAAGCGCTATCTATTGGACCGAACTGAGTAGGTTTTACCTGAGGACAGGGACAGAATCCAGTCATGGTGTCAAATTCAACCCTCTGAAACACAAATAGCAGATATGGTGTTATGGGTTGTAACTCCATGTAAGTCTTGTATGTGGATACCCATGTGTAGGAACAAGTAAGGGATGAAATGATTGGGGCAAAGTTATGGCCTGATTATATGGGCAGTGTGACAGGTTATCAGAACCACTGGAGGGAGAGGAGATAGAGAACTGTTTGGCCCAGTAGGAAAGGTGAGTAGGAAATGCGAG